AGCAAGCAAATTATGATCTGCAGGGACGTGATTATAGATGAGCTTAAGGAATGGGATTGGAATGAGAATGTTTTGAAGGATTCAGTCAGAATCTTATGTGAAGAACCAGCAAGTGAAGTCGAAAGAGAAGTTCGACAAGAAGAAGTCAGAGCTGAAGCAGACCCAAGCAGACCTCAACGAACAAGACACATGTCTGGAAGGTTGCAAGAATGTGTGATTACATCAGATGATGTGGTCAATGAAAAAGGTGAGCTAGTACACTATGATTTCTATGTAGCTGTCAAACCAGTCAATGCAGCTGAGGCGTTGAAAGAATCAAAGTGGGTGAAAGCAATGAATGAGGAACTAGAGTTCATCGAAGTTAACAACACTTGGTCACTTGTCGAATTGCCTCAAAGTAAGAAGGAAATCAATATGAAATGGGTATACAAGGTGAAGTTGAATCCCAAAGGAGAAGTAACTCGACACAAGACAACAATTGTAGCAAAAGTCTTTCTTTAGAAAGAAGGAAATGATTTCGAAGAAGTCTTTGCACCAGTTTCTAGAATCGAAACAATCAGGTTAGTTGGTGGTCTAGCAAAAATGAACAACTGGTACATGAGTTAGATGGATGTGAAGTATGCATTTCTAAATGGTCCCTAAGACAAAGAAGTTTATGTTGCACAACCAGTTAGGTTTATGAAAAATGGTCAAGAGAGAGAAGTATACAGGCTGAATAAAGCCCTGTGTGGACTCAAATGAACTCCTAGAGCTTGGAATAAGAAGATAGATAACTTTCTAAGGGAGAAGAATTTAAGAAATGCACAACTGAGTATGGTGTATATGTAAGGAGAAGCAATAGCGAATTTCTTATACTATATCTTTATGTCGATGACCTGTTGATAATAGGAAGTTGTAAGAAAGAGATCAAAAATTTCAAACTTAATCTAAGTGATGAGTTTGAAATGTCAGACTTGGGAAATCTCTCATACTTCCTTGGCATCGAATTCTATAAGAGAAGTAGAGGTTTGATGATGCATCAAAGAAGATATGCAGGCGAAATACTCAAGAGATTTGAGATGCAAGATTGCAACCCAACTTCGACTCTTGCTGAGCCTAGAATGCAATTTTCGAAAGACATAGATGAAGATGATGTCGACCCAACACAGTATAGAAGATTCATTAGATTAATTCAAAATCTTTGTCACGCAAGGCCTGATTTAGCATACAATGTAGGTACTCTGATTAGATTCTTGCAGAAGGCAAATGTATCACACCTAGCAGCAATGAAAAGGATACCGAGGTATCTAAAAGAAACTCATGACTATGGAATTTTGTTTCCTGCAATTGATAAAGGAAAAGAATGCAAGCCAGTGGGTTACACCGACTCAAGCCGGTGTGCTGGTGTTGAGGATCAAAAGTTCACAGCTGGTTATGTGTTTATGCTAGGTCGTGCAATAAATGTTTAGAGTTCGAGAAAGGAACCAGTAGTGGCATTGTCGTCGTGCGAAGCAATACTTAGGTGATTCTCTCTGTGCATGTCAAGCAACGTGATTGTGAACTTGGTCGAAGAGATTCTAGAGTCATAGAGCAATTAACATGAAGATCGACATCATGTCAACTATCAATTTGGCGAAGAATCTGATAGCAAATGGACGAAGCAAGCACATCGAAATGAGGTTCCACTATCTTCGAGAGCAGGTAGCAGAAGGGAAGATGAACTTGGAACACTGCAGAATTGAGAATGAGATTGTAGATATCATGACGAAAATAGTGCAAGTCTAGTGTTCAAAAAACTAATGTCTATGATGAGTATAAATAACTTAGACATAATGAATTATGTGATGTGTTGAGAATGTAATTTTTATTTTCGAAACAAATTGCTCGATAGAAACAAGGTTGTGTCGAAACAATCTAGTGTGTCTAAGTTCTGTAGTCGTCGAAGTGTCGAAGGAGCTAGCCTCGACATGAATTTCGACTTAGGCCTAATTTTGTAGTGTTAGCATAACTAAGTAATTTGAGCTTTGTATTTTTGAACTTTGCTTAAGGAGCAAACAAACCTAAAATCTATAAATAAGAAATAAACCTTATTATTGTATAACAATTTTTGTCGTTACAAAGAATAATATTTAGTTTTGAATAACTGAGAGAAATTATACAAAAATTATCTTCTTCTATATTTGGTTTAAACCTTAATTTCCGTTTCTTCTCAATTCAATTTTTCTTTCTTCTTCCATTAACAATTGCTGCACAAAATTATTCTTACAATTAAATTGTGATTGATTCACTCGAATGAAGAGTGAAGAATAAAAGAGTAATTCAATCGGTTGATTGAATCTTGTCCATTAAAATTGATTTGGAATTCTCCAAAATTAAGTTAATTCTAACGAATGTTACTCACCTAAGAGCATCTTTAACGCAGGGTTGTTAAACCAAAATTCCTTATAGTTTACGTTAGTAATAAGGAATTTGCATTATAATAGAGCTGACATGGCATCCAAATGAACTAAAATTTAGTTCCCATTATCTATATAGTTAACGTTAACTATTCTTGTGAAACCTATTATAATATTATTTAATATTAATAAAATATTCCAAATATTTCATTTTAAATAGTAACGCTCATATTACCATTTTTTACCTTCTATAAATTCTATAGAAACTTTAATTTTTTTTACATACAGTTTTACTTCTAAATTTTTTTCTTTCAATTTTCAATCTTATTTATTTATCAAATGGATGACAACCAATCAAATCCTTATTATAATTATATTCCTATGAAAATGTAATTTTTTTTATTATTATTGTTGTGAATTTTGTATCATTTTTAATTTTATAATAAAATATATTTAATATTATTTTTAAGTTTTTAAGGTAAATTTTTTTAAAAAAAATATATGCATTTTAAATAAAATAATTAAATTAATGGTAACTTTAATAAAAAAAATATAAAATGTGGGATCAAGTCTTGGTTTCTTATAGACAGCCACCATTAAAGTAAAAACTACTCAAATCAACTATAAATTTTTTAAATCTTACAAATCACTTTGGGCCCACAAAAAGTATATTAGTTTACCCATTTAGTTTACTCCCACTAAAGATGCTCTAAGAGCAACTATAACGCAGAGTTGTTAAACCAAAATTCTTTATAGTTTACGTTAGTAATAAGAAATTTGCATTACAGGAGAGCTGGCATGGCATCCAAGTGAACTAAAATTTAGTTCCCATCATCTATATAGTTAACGTTAACGATGTGAAACCTATTATAATATTATTTAATATTAATAAAATATTCCAAATATTCCAACAACATTAAAGTAAGGGTATGATATTTGAAAATAGTAACGGTCATATTATCATTTTTTACCTTTTATTAATTCTATAGAAATTTTAATTTTTTTTACACACAGTTTTACTTTTAAATTTTTTTCTTTCAATTTCCAATCTTATTTATTTATCAAATGGATTCCAACCAATCGAATCCTTATTATAATTATATTCCTATGAAAATGTAATTTTTTTTATGTATTATTGTTGTGAATTTTGTATCATTTTTAATTTTATAATAAAATATATTTAATATTATTTTTAAGTTTTTAAGGTAAATTTTATTTAAAAAATTATATGTATTTTAATTAAAATAATTAAATTAATAGTAACTTGAATAAAAAATATAAAATATGGGATCAAATTTTGGTTTCTTATAGACAACCACCATTAAAGTAAAAACTACTCAAATCAACTATAAATTTTTTAAATCCTACAAATCACTTTGGGCTCACAAAAAGTATCTTAGTTTACCCATTTAGTTTACTCCCACTAAAGATGCTCTAAAAAAGTGCTCTAAAAAAGTTAGTGGCTTGGTACAATCACTAGACTTTCATTGGTGCTGGTCATGTTTCCTTGCTAATTTTGTTGAATATATGCATATTTATGCCTTAGCCTATCATTTAACTTTTTTTACTCTACAACTGCCACACATATGTTGATCAACTGGTTTTAAGAGTGAATTATGTAATTTAGTTTTTGAATTTTTTAGATTGGTTAGTTTTAAAAAATAAGACGAAGAAGAGAACTATCCGAAGACGATAAATTGTACAGATATAAAAAAGAAGAGATAAAAAAATCAAATCAGAAATTATACTGGTTGGGCCTTAAAGAACTCTTGGCTTAAGATGGTTTTGATGTCTATACCTTGTCATTATGACGTTTTAGTATGTTAAGATGGTATTTAAAGGACTTTAAAAGGCTATTATTACGCCTTTTCTGATTACTAGTGTATGATTTTGAAGATAGTTATGTATGATGTACTTGATTTTCTTCCTGGTTTTTACAATTTATTGTTTGCGCTAGGTTTTGTATTCTCTATAGCAATGCGGTGAGTTGTTTTATGATTTTAGAATATGAATCTTCGACAGTTTCATCTATTTTTGTTTTAAATTTTGATTCTTGAGAAGACTTTTTTAATATTTCAGTTTTGCTTCCTATTATAGGATATTGATTTTCGGCCTTCAATAAATTCAAGGTTATGTTCATGTTTCATGTTTTGAACGGTTGTTGGTGGTTTATGAAAATGAAATTCTCATTTGAAATTGCAAATTCATTTATTGGTTTGGTTGCAAATAGGAATTGTATGATAATCAACATAGAGGATCTAATTGATACACTCTTCAAGAACATGTGCTTGGATTCAACAAGGTGGCTTTCCAATTTTAAACCAGAAGAATTCACTATTGCCATATATATGTAGGTTTGATTGTACCAGCACTTAATAAGACAATTGCATCAAAAAAATTTGCAAATAAAAATAATTCAAAAACTTGAACCATAACACAAATTTTAATATATTTTTTTTCTTTGTTAAATAGTCTAGTGATTAGAGTTCAACTTTTTAAAGGTGAAGAAGTGAGATGATGTGGATTCGAACCAACGTCCCTACATCTACATCTGCATCTGATGTCCTTGCACCGCTACAAAATTTAACATTTGATAGTATGAAATCTGAAATTCTAAAGCTTCGTTCAAGTTTTTCTCAAGAGGAGAGGGTCAAGGACCCTATGAATGGAAAGCAACAGAAGAATCATGTATATAACTACTCCGACGAAACTCGCAATTAAAGATCCAGTCATATGATTGCAAAATTTGGGGACTGAACTACATATTGGTAACCAAGCTGCATAACTGTTTCCTCTCTTTGCCACTTGAGCTATAGCCAAAGCTGCAGATATGCTTGAGATGAGTAACATGGTCAATACCTGCTCATAAAAAATAGTTAATGCAACTTCATAAGCATACTCAAATGGTTATTATCTTTTAGATTTTAAGACATTATATTACCATATCGGTGGCGACCACGAGTTGCCAGAGCAAGCTTTCTGCCGGAAGAAAGAGTATAAAAAATCCATAGACAGTAACAATGGAGTTTGCAATCACAAAGTACCTAAGAATTGTTTGGTCAGTTTAGAGATGAATTATGTAAACAGTTTTGTTAAACATATAGATATGGTTGGAATTCACTTACTTGAAGGAAGGAGAGTTGGTGTATTTTGCTTCAAAGGAAACAGTAAAGAAAGTAGCTTTTTCATGGCTAGAAACCATGACAATTACTGCAGAAAGGGTGGCCGAGAAAGCCAAGAACCTTAACAAAAGATGACAGATTCTACTAGCTTTGGCCATGGATTTCACAAACAAAAAAACAAAGTTAGTGCATAACAATGAGTCCTTGGTTCAAGATTTAAAAGATGAAATAATTTCAAGATGGATGAGGTAGAAAATATGGGCTATGGGACCAGGGTTAGGGTGTTAGGAAGGAAAATATTGGATTGTGCAATTGAATTCACATTTTTGTGTTGTGTTAGGTGAAATTTTGGTGTACATACCACCGGCCAGTAAAGTTTTTTTGTTGTTGTCAACTCCTCATGTGGAGTGTATGTAAGCAATTTCATTTAAAATTTCAGAATGTTAGCTTAGTTTCTTGTCCTTTTTAGTTGGATTTATTTCATTGGAGAAATTTGTTAAGCACAAAATTTCTTGTACTATAACATAAGCACAAAATTTGCAACCTATATTACCTAAACACAAGCTGCCTTAGTATTATATTACACAAACGTATGACCATATAGTTATACTTCTCCTTTTCTAATACTTAAAATGGAGTTTTACATGAAAAACTGATTTTCCGTTTACCTTTTGAAACATATGTATTAGTTTTGATTTCGTAATAAGATGATGCATTTTTTTAAATAAAATTAATTTTTTGGCATTCTTATTATTTTTAAAAATTACACAAACTTCAAAAGTTTAATATTTTTATATTGACTAGCATTCAGACGGGCACGTCGTCTGTCCGCTTTTTTTAATATGCATAAATGAAAATATAAATGATACTTTTTGTTTAAATAAAATTTTTAAAAAATACAATATGTAAAAGTTAATAATAAGAAGTTACGTGGAAGTTAATAATATGAAGTTATTAAGGAAATTACATAATAAAATAAGGGTAAAAATGGCAGAAAAATGAGTCACACTAAAACAAAGTATTCCCTTTATATATTGTATAGATAAGTAAAATTAACTCGAACTTAGAAAATAAAAAATAATATTTTTACAATAAATGTGTCCTAAAAACATATCATTAGCTTCCTTAGTTTCTATGTTGATCATTCATTACCATCAACACCTTGATTTGTTTCTACGTTCATCATCACCATCAACCTAATTTTTTTTGGGATAAAACAAAAAACTTTTACACTCTCTTTCAATTTATCCAAGTAATAAATCCTTCTGATTCACAATATGTCGTCTTTGTGAGTGTCTCTGTTGTGTTTCGTATCTACATAACGAGCTCTTTAGGTGAATATGTCATCTCTGTTGCGAATATGTAGTGAACGTTGTCCTCCTTACAAGCTCATCCACAATACTCCTTTAAAATGCTCAAGGAAATAAGTGTAGAATGGTTACCTAATTTATCAACCTAGAATTCCTTAATTAGTGGATTTGCTCAATTAATGGTGTTTAGTAAATTACTACAAGAGACTAGAACACGAGTGTCTAAAATAGCTTTGCACTTCTTAGGGGAATTAATTCAAGATGAAATGAGGAGATGTTGTTAGTTAATGGAAAGGGGAATTTACATAACCATTTGGGAGTTAGGGTTGGCAAACAAAGATACACCTTCTGTTTAGGTTTGCCTTACAAAAGTCCGAAAAAAAATAGGATGGTTCGTGCATAATTAGGATGTACGCTTAAAATTTTTGTCCGCCATGCAAAAATGTGAGGGTTGGACTAAGTAGACCTGTGGACACTATACATTTTGAGTTTAAAATTTTAAAGATTTATGTTAATACATGCATCCGTAAAAAATGGGGCGAAGCGACACATTCTAAGATGCGGGTCTAAAAACATGATCAGTCCCCATAAAAAAGTTAGGGCAAAATATAAATGTGTGATTCATCATAATTGCGAAAGAAAAAAATGTGCAATTCATTTGAATTTTAGAAATATAAATGAACAAATCAAATTAAACCAATGCAGTTTCGGTTGGTTCAGTTTTTTACAATTTTTTTTTAAAATTTTGTATTTAGTCATTCATATATTACCAAATAAAAACAAAATTCATCATAATGAACAACATCTTCTCATTTAATATACAAAAATAAAATTAGATAAATATAAAATAAAAAACCATAATATTATTTTTGAAATGTTTAACTAGGACACATGTCACTTATTTGTAAAATGATTTTTTGGCTTTGCCATTGATGGGATTTGAACACTTTCCCTTTGTAAAACTAAGCAAAGCCTTTGCCATCAAAAGCACAATGCGATCTTGTTAAATTTATACATCAATATATATATATATATATATATATATATATATATATATATATATATATATATATATATATATATATATATATATATATATATATATATATATATATATATATATATATATATATATATATATATATATATATATATATATATATATATATATATATATATATATATATATATATATATATATATATATATATATATATATATATATATATATATATATATATATATATATATATATATATATATATATATATATATATATATATATATACATCCCTGACTCACACTATGAACAAATCAATCTTACTTATATCCTCACATTGACATCAACAACAAAATAATACTCTCTCTCTCTCTCTCATCATTTACAAACTCAACATAAACTTTTATTTCAAGCATGCCTATTTTGATAACAATAAGGATCATTCTAGAATGACATGGACTCAAAGGATAAAGTGTCATGGCTTTTCCCAAAAGTGTAAGCTTATCCTTACAATTAAGTGCTTCAAGAGTGTTGCACCCTAAATTTTGACCCCTTAGATCCTCATCATTATTTTAGGACCATATTCATTTGATTAACTAACCTTAACCCATTTCATGTTTATCTTTGTCAAGATGCAGATGAATCAGGGTTCTGTACCGTCAAAATCGAGGCTTCGATGGTTTGATCAATCAATGTTTTGGATTGATTCAACTATAAACAAGATCAAGGATACTACATTGGGTCAAGTATGAATTCAATTTGAGGTGGTCACCCGGGAATTGAGAACAGTGCAGTTCAAGATACCCGATTAGGGTTTTCAATTAGGAAAAGTCAACTGTAGTTTGACTTTTGATTTAAAAAGTGTTTCAATGGTGGGATTATGGTCCATTAAGTTCCTATGGCTTAATAAAGTCTATCCAAAGAGTTTCAAGTCCTCAGAGTACCCGGGGCCCCAACAACCGACTCGGTAGTCACCGATTGATCGTACGGTTGACCGAAAAGTCAACTCTTCAATAATAAGGAATTTGACTTCAAGATGTGATTCAAAAATGTTCCTTATGTCATATTACACCTTCCCATAAAATTTCATGACCATTGGATCAAGGGTTAAGAAGTAATTGCAAAAGTCGGGAATTAGGGTTTTGAAAGGGGCAAGACCATAACTCCTCAACCACACATCCAAATGAAGTGGTTCAAAGCTCATTGGAAAGCTTTTGACAAGTCCTACAAAAGTCTCAAAGTGGTCCATGATAAAAAAATGCATAGAATGGGAGATATGACCAAATTCATTTCAAGAAGGGAAATAACTTGGAAAAATTCTAAGTTATTTGGCCTTTTAAGTGATTTTTTCAGCAATTTAGAAGGGCTTTTCAACCTAGTTCCATCTAGAATTTGAAAATCTCAAAAACATTAAAGTTGTAGATCTACTTGAGGGCTTTCTAAATTATGGTAGAACTCCTCAATAGCATTTGTGAGCAGAAAGTTATGGGTCATGGAAGTTGGGGCTGCCATACTTGAAATCACCACTTCAACATTTTCCAAAATTCAAAATTCACCAACTTAGGCTACCCTCAGCCAATGGATCATATTCTATCCTGATTTTATGAAGCTTAGATGATGCAAAAACCAGAAGAAATGAATAATTGGTGAGTTGTTGCAACTTGGAGCAAGAGGTCATTAAAATAATCATTTAAAAGCCATGAAAGAGAAACCTTTCAAAGAAATTGGGCAGCTGCAGTCCCCTACCTTCCTAGCCTCACTTCAGCCATCCCATCCCTCCCATCTCACTTGATTTTTGCTCAGCATTTGCCCATGGAGCTGATATGTAGAGCTGCCACAAAGATCTTGGCAAGATTCATTCAAGATTTCATAATCTCCCTCCAAAAATGGCAAAATCCAAATCTGCCCTCACCTTCATTTTCACTATAAATAGAGGCATTCTCTATGATGTTAGACACCAGAGCACTCTTAAAAAACCAAGAGAAATCACAGCTCTCAACTCTCATTCACTTTCTCAAAAAACTTCATTCTTCAAAAACATTCAAGTTTTCACTAAAAAATGTCTCAAGCAAAATTCTTCCCAAACTCATTTCCACCCCTTCCAAGCCACTCAAAACCATTTACACAATCTATAAACATTGTGTAGAAGGTGTTCATACACTCAAAACACCCAAAAACATCATTTTCCTAAAAGTCAAACTTCATACATTCATATGTTGACTTTCATGCACTTTGGAAGCCAAGTCTTTACTTAAGGCCTTTCCTACCACCTCAACACTCCCAACACCTCATATATATCATATCTCAACTATCCAAAGTCTCAAAAACCAGTTGGGAAGTTCATAACTCAAACTGTCTTGAAAGATAGTTTGTTGCTTCAAGAGGAAGAAAACTCCAAATCTTTGCCAAGGAAGAAGATCTCTGGGTTTCTTAGCTTTTTAGCTTGTTCAAGAAAGTCTACAAGAGGTATGTAATGATCAACTCCTTCATTATTCATACATTGTCATGTTTTACAATTTTGAGGTGCTTGTTGTGAAAATATAGTCATGTTGTCCCATATTGGTTCTTTGTCAAGAACTTGAGTTTTGTGGCTATGATATTGCTTTTGTTAAGGTATGTTGCTCATGTATGATGTGTTGATGATATGTTGCCAATATTGACCTTTGATGTTGTGTACAACTTGTTTTGAGAACTTTATCTACAAGATTAGCCTTAGTGATCCAAACATGGTAATGTTGTTATGCTTAATACAATCTAGCAACCCTAGTTTATTGGTGATGTTTTGGATAACTTGTTAGTTGTTTCATGAGGTTCCCCTACCCCCTAGGTCATGTATGAATCTAGTTTA